CTGCCAGCTAGCCCTGCATTGTAGCACCCTCCTGCTCCAGCCAGCCCCTCCACAGTACATTGAGCTAGGATGGAGCAGCCTCAGGCTGGCAGGTTGATCTCCCCCAGCCCCCTGCCAGCCAGGGCTACTATGCCCCAGCTCAATGTGCTGTGGGCCCAGGCACACATGTAAATGCTGCACCCAGGAGCAATAAACTCCAGCACAAATTGCACCGCAGTTTATTGCTCCATTCTGATTGCATATGTAGATGCAGAGCTGGGGCCCCTGCCAGCCAGGGCTGCTCCAACCCTACTCAATGTGCTGCAAAAGGGCTGGCTGAAGCACAACGGTGCTTTAGTGTGGGGCTAGCTGGCAGGCAGATCCTCCACTGAAATACCCTTGTGCCCTAGCCAGCCCTGTCAGTGTCTACATGCATGTTGCTGCACAGTAAATAATGCCACTGCAGGACAGTACTTGTATTTACAAGTGGTATTTACTAGTGTACAGGTGCAACCCTATTAGGTTGCAGTAAATGTGGTGACTGTACAGCGGAGCTAATTAAGCAGCTCCACAGTAAACATCTCATGTAAATGCACCCACTGGGCACATCTACACAAGACATTTACTGCACAGTAGACTAATTAGCTGGGTTGTTAACATGCGCCCTATTAGGCTGGAGTAAACTAATTTACTCCACAGCAGCACAGTACTTGTATTTACAAGCACTATCCTGCGATAGTACTTGCATTTACAAGTACTATCCTGCTGCAGGGTAAAAAACTGCAGCAGCACATATGTCGATCATGTCCCAAACAGCTGGGGCAGCAGAGTGCTTCAGTGTGGGGCCTGCCTGCCAGCTAGCCCTGCACTAAAGCAACCTCATGCCCCAGACATCCTCTCCACAGCATGCTGATGGGGGGGGGGAGCAGCCCTAGGCTGGCAGGCTGATCTCCAGGCCCTCCTGCGAGCCAGGGCTGCTCCAACCTGGCTCAATGTGCTGTGATCCCAGGCATATGTACAAATGTCAATAAACTCTGGAGTTTATTGCTTCCGGGCCCATGTTCAAATGGCACACCTGGGAGCAATGAACTCCAGACTTTATTGCTTAGCATTAATTGCACGTGTAGGTGTGCCCACTGACAACTACTTTTTAGATTTGGCAGTTGCCCATATTTTAATCTATTTAATATGTGCTGTATTGATATTGTGTAGAGCAATTTTTTTAAGGAGAATGTTGTGTGCTACTAAGACAAATGCCTTAAGGAATCAATTTGCAACAAGACTAAGTTATTTTATTATATGTATTATTGTTTAGTAAAAGTCTACCAGGTGGGTGATGGTAAGTTATTTGACATTTCAACATTTTTACCCAATAAGCGCTGCTTGTTGTTTCTTACTGTATAATTAAACCATATTCTAGTTTTATTGGTTTGGCGTGATCCAATACCAATTTTCTTAATTAGTGACTTTTTCCAAATGCACCACAAGAAGCCTATAACCCTAATGATGATATATTTACATTGTTGTGGTATACAAGTCATGTTAGTATGTGCTTGTTCTTTTTTTCCCCCTCCTCAATGGATAAAGGCGGCACACAGGGTTTATGAAAGGATTTGTTTTTACAAAGCATCTGACACAGTCACAATAGTTATATAAGTGGTAGTAAAGCAACCTGCCTTGCAGTTTCATTATAGTTACATTAAAAATCTGTGAAGTATGTTGTGACTGTTTAATTCCACAGCTCTGAGTGTCAGAATGATATTGTCAGAAGGCTCCTGCTTGCTGAAACATTTTGTACAAAAGCTAGAATAAATATGTAGTGATTAGGTGGATATGAATACCTTCTAAAGAATTCTTTTACTCTATCAGAACACACTGAGGAGGAATCATGTCAGTTTGACCCAGCTCTCCAGCATCTGTATAGCTTGAGTGGTT